TGTATGTATGTATGTATGTGTATATGTATGTGTGTTTGCTTGCTTGCTTGCTTGCTTGCTTGCTTGCTTTGCTTTGCTTTGCTTTGCTTTGCTTTGCTTTGCTTTGCTTTGCTTTGCTTTGCTTTGCTTTGCTTGCTTGCTTGCTTGCTTGCTTGCTTGCTTGCGGCTTCGAGAATGCGCCCCCATAGGAACACCCTCCCACGCGATGCGCGCAGCCGTGTTCCAGGTCATCTGAGGTTAGCTGTGTTAGCATCCCCCCAGCTCGGCGTGAAAAGGAGTGCCGTTCAAGATCCCCCGACCGACAGAGTACCCAAAACAGACATACTACTTCATCACAACGTGGCAGTCGGGTTGGTTGAACAAGGCTCTAAGTGGTTCTTAGAGCTCAGGAAAGCTTGGGTGTCCCCAGTGTTTAGGGTGCCCTTTTTGAAACAAATTCAAGTACACTGTGCAAGCAAAGGCTGTCATCAGACATGGGGTAGTCGCGGTTATCCCCGGTATTGGGGGTTTCCTCAAGAAAGCTGAAGCAGAGCGACCCCGGAATTCCAGAGAACAACCAAAACCTGTAAAGTCACAACTGAACGGTATTCTGAGGTCGAAGCTGCAAGGAGTCCCCTTCATCAACTGCTATTTCAAAAATCCTAACGGGCGCTCAGGTGTCGGCGGCGACGTAGTGGGGGACGCTCTCGTTCTCCTCCCTTTGTTCTGTGTTGCCGCTTCTCCCCCGGCTTGTGCTTGTTCTCTTCCCCCACATCGAGGAACGCTGCCACTCTTTTCAACTTGGCTGCCAGTGTTTCTGGTGGGGGTCCCCCCATGGCTTTGGAGACGCGTTTGACCTTGGCAGTGAGCGTGCCGCGAGCTGGTTCCCCCACCTTGGCCGGGGGGGAGCTTGACTGTAAGCCCTCCCACTCGCAAGGTTCGTCGGCGGTCCTCGTCCAGCTTCTTCTTGAGCTTCAAGCCTAGTTTCTCCCCCGCCGACTGTGCCGAGGCTGATGCCGGTCGAATTGTTGCACCACTGTCGATCTCGATATCAATGAGGTCATCCCCCTGGCTCATTTGGGCTCCCCCACTTGGCTGCTTGAGTTCATCCATCACCTGTTTCACGAGGTCGTCTTGGTCCAGGGACAGTTCGTTCCCCAAGCTTGCTCCAGTGGTACTCGCTGATGGCTCCCCCTGTTCCCCCTGTTCTCGAGTCGAAGCTTCCCCATTCCCTCCTGATGTCAGCCATCGTCATGTTGTGGAAGATCGTTGCAAAAGTGGCAGCGGTGGGCCATGTATGCTTGACCTCCTCCACGATGGCATCTGCAGAGGGTTGCTGATCCTTCGGGCTTTCCTCAAAGTCGACGAGGAGTTCCGGAGTAACTGGTTGTCTAGTCCCCTCCCTGCCTGGAATATCTTGCCATCCCCCCGTGTGCTGGGCATCGTCATCAAGGTATGGTGGCGTGATTGCCGCCTCATCATCTCTTCCGTCCCAGTCGATCTCCTCCTTGACTGCTACCTCTGTTGTCCCCCCTTTGGGGCTTTCGGCTTTGTCTTCCCCCACCTGGGCTGGCATGGCTTCCACTCTTCTTCTTCCTTCGGGTTAGAGGAGCTTGTCAGGCTCCCCGGCCCATAGGGCCCCCCAACGTTCTGGGGCTTTCGGGGAGAGCTTCCACTCTCTCTCTCTCTCTCTCTCTCTCTCTCTCTCTCTCTCTCTTGCTTGCTTGCTTGCTTGGGGTATGGGCTTCAGGAAGCCCTGGCCCGAAGGCCTACCCCCATGGCGCGCGCTTGTCTGTCGGTACGGCCCCTTGCGGGGTGAGTGCGATCCACGTTCCCCTGAATGTGCCTGGACAGTGACCCCCCCGAACAAACACCCCTGCCAAGACCGTCACCAATGAACAAGGTACCACAGGCATCATTCAGGTCCTCCGTGAACACTCCAACTTTCAATGATGGGAGGGGCAGTACGATTGCTTCAACAAACCTTCAACGCCAGCTTCAGCCGCTCTAAAACAGTTACCGTTTGTTGTACTGCTCCCACTCCTGGATGTTGCGGGAGGAGCTCCACTCCCCAACTCCACTGGTGACATAGACAAGATCCCGGCCTAACCTGCCTCCCCACCTGATCCCGAACACAAGCCTCGCACAGCACTGCCTCGACCTTCCCACCCCATCCCCGAAGCCTGGTTGCTTTCCTTTGGGCTTGGTAACAGGACAGGCGCAAGCGGACTGTGTTCAAAAGCGGTTACCGAGCACGTGACTACTGCCCAGGAAGCTTCACAAGACTTCCCCAGCTCACCGGTTCCCCACATAGCTCACAGCAGATTTAGACGCTCTAAGGACCAGAAACCTGAGGACCCCACACGCGCCTAGTCATCGTTATCGAGCGAGCTGGGACTGGTAAACGAGCGCCTCCTACGTCCCCTGGGCTCTTCTTGGCCCCTCAGTTGTTGGTGCGGTTGATCTGGTAAAAGGTGTGGTGGAACTGGCTCTCTCTCTCTCTCTCTCTCTCTCTCTCTCTCTCTTCTTCAGCACAGACAAGGGAAAGTGCAGGCGCACCCCCCCCCGCGCGCGAGCGCGCACTGGTTCGTTCGTTCAGTGAGCACTAGTGACAAGATGAGGCCAGAGGTCGTGAACCGGGGACCCCCAACCCTTTACTGAACCTGAAAGTATACCCCCGGCCTCGTCCCGTCTAAGGCTGCTGCATGCCCTGTTCGCGGTCTGGCAGCTTATTGCTGCACTGACAGCTCGCCCCGCTCCGGCTTCTCCCGAAAAACAGGTCAAACACAACTCATGAAGGACTGCCCTGCACACTATGTCCCCCGGCTTGGAGCTGTTGTCGGCATGCTCGTTACAGCAAGACAAAAGTCGCTACAGTCTGAGGCCCGGGCTCGAAAAAGACACTACAGCAGGTACTGGCAAAGGTTCAGCAAGAGAAACCCCCTGAGCAACAACTATCCTCCCGGTGCCTCGTGGCCTGTGAAAGGGCTGGAAGTTCTGTACACGTGGAGGCTTTCGATATCACTGGCACTAAAACTGCATGAAAGACATCAACGAACCGAACTAGGTAGAGTACATTGCATTGCAGTGTTGGCCCCCCTTTCCTGGACTGGTTGGGTTACTCAAACTCGCTGTGCATGCTGCCCTCCCTGGTTGCCCCCCGAACCTACAAACAAACGAGCATCAAGACAACCTATGGGTCCCCAGCAAAGGCAGCGTGCATCCTACGTCTGCGGTGGTCACTTTCCCCCTCAGTACGGCGTCTGCAAAAAAGAGATCTGTACTCCCTTTCGGCTTCGCGTGCAGCTTCCTGTTCCTGTTGGCACTCATACTCTTCCATAGCTCGTAGAAGTTCTGCGTCCGTGGGCCCCCCTTCGTCTTCAGTGCTGCGGTCTTCTCTATGTTCATCAGCGGAGCTAGGTATGCTCCCCGGCCATTGCGCCATTCCCGGCGCTGGTTGCCAGCTGCTCCTCGCCTCCTCAATGGGGTCGCGTGCCTCCCCCTCTTCGGTGGTTTGGGTATCCACCGCATGGGCGCTCTGCTGCGTCTGCCACATAACCATCATGGCAATGATGTTGAGCACTCGGGCATGGTCCCCCGCCGTCAGAAATCCCAGCGAGTTGCGAATGTCCCCCAAGATGGCCTCAAGGCGGGCCCCCCGGTCTTGCGGTCGACGCGGTGCCTCTTCTCCTCCATGTTGCAGAGCAAGCACGTCAGCGCAGTGCACCAGATTGGCGTCCATGGCTTCATCGATTGCCTGCTCAGCCTCTTCTAGGAGTACCCCCACGGCTGCTCCCCAACTGCCAGCGTACCAGTCCGTGTCCCCTTCTGTCGTGGCAGCCTGGGCTTGTTGTGCTGCTGCAACGGCTTGTTCGAGGCCTGTTGCACCATGGCGTAGTGTATGGCCCCCTTGTCCCTGAGTTAAGCTGCGGAACTGGTCTCCCCCTTCTCGCAGCAGTTGCAAGATGGACTTGAGGTCCTCGTAGAGCTGGTGTTGGTTGATGCCGTTCTCCTCGTCTTGCCATAGGTCTAGCAGTCGAAGTCGGGCATCTCGCACCACATTGTTCCCCTTTCTCTTGGTCCCCCTGCTTGAAGGGTCACCACTTTGCTGTTTGGCCCTCAGCAGACCCTCTTCGAGGACGGCGATGGCATCCTCAATCTCGTATCGCAGTCGCATGGGCAGCCCTTGTTCTGCCCCCCATGCCGCCAATTCGCGAGGCCAGCGGAGCATAAGCGCCACTTCCCTCGGCAGCACCGGCGGCCGCTGAGCTCCCTCATGGCAATGCTGCGCTACTTGAGTGTCTAGCTGCGTACTAGCTCGCTCTCTCTCTCTCTCTCTCTCTTGCTTGCTTGCTTGCTTGCTTGCTTGCTTGCAAGGCGTTTGGAGGGTGTGGGGAAAACCCCAGCCCCCCTGCGCGCTATCTCTCTCTCTCTCTCTCTTTCTCTCTCTCTCTCCACACTTCAGCCGCAGTACGTGCAAAGGCTGCCGCCCTGTCTGACATGTTGCGCATTTTCATCTCTGCTGCAAGTATACAGGTAGCTCGGCAAGCTTGAAGGCTCTGCTGGCAGAATGTCGGGTGACGACTCTTGCTGTACATGAGAAGCACAGGTCTGGCCGCGCAGCATGCAGAGCCGTCTAATTTCCACCACTAAGAGGAGCCGAGAGTCAGGCTAGGTGCAAATGCTGAGCGAACCGAGGCAACACACACAAAGAGAAGATAAGAGAAGCAGGGGAACAGCGTCAACCAAGGAAATCAACATCCAGAAATAAACCTAACCTATAACATAAGTCAGCTCCATTCAAACTTTTGACTACCGCGCCTCTGCGGCCTGCTCCCTTGACAAACCAGCTCGAATTGCGGCTCGGCCTGATAGCATTGGCGAGCACAGGTTGCCCAAACTCGTAGACAGCGCCTGCAGCGGTGGCCGCAGCATTTACGTCGTCTGCAGCGCTTTTACCAGCTGTTCTCGCTGCATCCGCGGCAGAAATCCTTGTGGAAAGCGGCTCCAAGAAGTTGGCTTTGAAGTCTCTGGCTCTAGAAATAAGTCTGGGCGAGACTCCCGGCTTTGGTTGCTTGCCCGGCTGCTTCATGGACTCCTTCTGGTGTGAGCAGCGACTCCTCGATGGCCTCGACCTGCGCAGCCGCGGCGCAGCCCCAAAGCCCAGTCAAGGCAAGGCCTAGGCTTAGGCGCTGTGGGCCGAGGTCTGGGCTGTCAAAGAGCACACGCCGGCAGTTGTGCCACAGTGTCCCTCCTGACATAGGCATTTACCATCGACGCAAACCTCAGATTGCAAGACATGCATGCCGAGGGGGCATTTGGGATTCCAATGCATGCGCTGCATTGATGTGCCGCTCTGCTGCAGTAGGCCCGCGGGACGGATCGCAAAAGCCGAAACTGCACAGGCCACCAGTGTTCCTCCAAAGGCTACGCACATCGAACTTTAGTCTACGTCGGCATGCAAGCCTGGGAAACTCTCAAAGGACCAACCGGCCTGTTGCACGTCGTGTTCTGGACAGCATGACAGCCGCAGCCTGTAAGTACACCAAGCGGTTTTCCTACTCGAAAGGGGCAGCCGAAGACAGTTCAGTAAAGCAGCAGTTTCGCTCGGGGTAGTTGTGCATCTTGCCCATGGCCTCATGAAGTTTTGCTGCGTCGTTGAATGCCAGGCGAATTCGCCCCATTGAACAAGGATTCAACTCTTCCAATTTTTGCAAATTCGAGCAAGTCTCCCGCTCAGGCTTCGGGGGCAGGGTCAGAGTCGGGTTGTCGGGGTCGACGGTCGATAAGAAATCGTGCGAACAAAAACAGGAACTTGGTGGCTGTAATTGCTCTGATGGGGGTTCAGGATTTCAGGGTTTAGGGCTAGGGGCTTCGGGGTGTATGGCTTCGGGTCTGCTTGAAAGCCTCAGGGACCTTAGTCAGCTCATATTCGGGGTCTGTGAGTCACAGCCCCTGGTAACCTGCTTACTCAGTCCCTGGGCCTTCAAGCAGAACACAGCAGAACCTTGGAGGTTTAAGGTTTGGACTCTCGCAACTCGGACTCTGTAGAAGAGGATGGTTCGGTCGAATGGCGAACACATTTTGGGGTTTGATTTCATGGCTCTGGTCAAAGCACAATAGGGGTGAAATGGCGTTTCGAGTTTCCACGCAGCTCCTGCAAAACCGGGTACCCTTCAGGGGCGCTTCAAAGCATGGCGGTCGAAGGGTGAGCACAGTTGCAAAATCTGGTGGTGCCACAAGATCTGTGCCGAGTTGAGTAGTGTGGTCAAACCACCTGGGACGGCAATTCCGTGGAATGTGCGGCAAATTGACTCAGAGCCGAGTCCAGCACTCGGGATCAAGAATTTGATGCGTTGTGCTGCGCTTCCAGCACGTTGCGGGCTTCGTAGGGAAGATTGTGCAGAATCCAAGGGTCACGGATCGTGACGGTCTGTTCAACGGTGGCTGGTTGCGGTGCGAGAGCTTCGTTGTTTCCTGTTCTGACAGCAAATGGGCCACGTGTCCGGGATCAAAACATCTCCAAAGCGAGTTCGCACCCTTCGCTCTACTGCAGTGCGCGCTCTCAACACTCAATGGCTGTGGCGATGGCCCATGTGCTGATGTTCCCGTTGTTGCAGAGGCCCTTTTCTCTGTAATACCTCACTTGAGCTGTGTGCATGCCCAATCGAGCGGCCTGTTACATGCGACATGAAGTGATCGGCATCCGAGATCTTGGTTGCATCCAGGTGTCGCACATGTCCACCCTAAGCTCTGCGAAGCAATAACTACATATGCCCCTAGCATCGATGCTTTCCGCTCGAACCCTGATAATTCGCGTACGAGCTGCCCATGGTGGATGGCCACACTGCTCCTGGTGTCGGCTTACACCACGCAGAGTTTCGACCACCTTCTTCATACGCGCAAGCAGACCAACCTGCCAAAGCAACAAACAAACTCATGCCGTGACTGTTGATTGCCAGAGGCTGTCAGTATGCAACCTGCGACAAACATACAAGCATTCAGCACAGAAGCCGTTCGCCCAATCAGGTGTATCTCGACATGTTGTTGATGCCGGTGATGCAGAGGGCGTTGCAAACTCCTGGGCAGTGGTGAAGGTTCATCTGAATGGACTGAATGGATGCTCTGGTTTCATCGACAGCCACGAGAGAAGCGCGTCTCCGTGTGTGCGTGTGCGAACTTACATGAAATACGCTTGACACTCGGGTCACCGAGACCTTCCTGATAGCAGATTCCGTTCTCACGCGCTAAGGTCAAACAGTCAAATAGTTTCAAAACATAGCAGATAAGAATCTATCGAACGACTGATTGGCTTTGCCTTACTTGGTGCCTACTGTGAGGCCTGACCGGCACGTCATCAAAAAAGTTGCATGGCCTGGCACTCCACATCAAGGATACGTCAGCGGCTCATCTTGTAAACTCAACTTCACAAACGTCCCACAACACAAAAAGCAAGTAGTAAAGATGTGTGTGACACTCATTTTCTCCTGTGATCTAAGGAGGCGCCCTCACACACAGAGACACGCGTAGCGGGACTGAGCGTTCCTCCCTTTTTTGCCAACACTCGCTCTTCCGCCTCGCGAACTTCAGAGCTGTTACTGAACTAAGATGAGCAATGCATGCAGACTGCCACTGTAGAAAACTCATGGGAAAAGAGGGCTAAAGTTAGGGACCCAGTGGGCAACCGCTTGCCTGGAACCATTTCAAGACGTATCTACGTAGACTGATCCGTCAGAAATAGAGCCCATGAAAGTTCGGGTCGATGCGTCCTTTTCCGCCCAACAAACCCAGTAACATCTCGGCCTAAGAATTCTCGGTGAATCTTAACTTTGGAGACCGTAACAAGGTCTGATTGCATAGCCCCGGTGACATATGTTTTTCATTTTACGGGTAAGTCGCCACATTGGCATTCCCGGAGCCAAAAATCCCCCAATAAACCATGTTTGGTCACAAAATCAGGTACTAGTTCAATTTATGACATCCTGCTATCATCATCGACATTGGGTACATACCACTCCCTTCCCTAAGGCCCTCATGAAGTCAATGATGGCCGTCGTAGCCGGGAGATTTCTGGGTGTAGATCCCCAGTTGATGTTTTCAAGTGAGGCCGTATGATTGAAAGGACTGCGCGCGTGCGAGCACTGGGCCATGCTGAATTCTGAATCAGAAATTGATCGTCCAAGCCTGTTCCGCAGCATGCTGCAAAAAGAGTATCTGCGGCCCGAAACAAATTCAGGTCTATTTCGCCCCCTGAAACTGGTACGACAGCCTCAAAGGCTTCCCGAGTCAAGTTTGAACACGGAACACGAAGAAACATTGAGCGCCTCAACAGGCTGGATATGTGTTCCCGGCAGACGAAACGAAGGCCGAGGCCTGCTAAAGGATTTATGATTTTATGCCATCGGGTGCTGGTGCACACACCCTTCATACTTACTCGGTCTTGCCCCCGCCTTATGTCTCTTTTCTTCATCCTCACAGCGCCACAGGGCTGCCCCCTTCCTCGCACACACGTCCGCCCAAGTTAGGATCAACATTAATCTGTGCAAAATTGACCCGGCCGCCCAAGATATATGTATATGTATGTACGTCTATATACACGTCCGCCCAAGTTAGGATCAACATTAATCTGTGCAAAATTGACCCGGCC